ATAATGCATCAAATAAATTTTTTGCGAAAGATATTGTCAAATTTGGAAAGACGCAACAACATTTAGGTTTGCGATTCGTTTTAAGTTTACCTTTGGAGTTTCTATTGTTACACCCCCCTTTTTTGGGCGGGCGAAGGGGGGCGCAGAATTTACCTGGTCATAACTTTTGTAATTTACAAAATTTTTTTACGAAATTTAAAATCTGTCGATAAATTTAAACTTAGTTTAAGCAAGGACGTATTAATAGATTGATGTTTAATACATTGTTTGCGTTTGAGCAGCCGCAGCGCAGTGGTTAGCGCGCTCGCCTCAGAAACTTGAGATCCGTGATTTGAGCAAATTTTGATAACATCGGTAACGAAACTTCCTTTCAAATGCTCCTCAGCAGTGCTCTATAATACGACCGCAAGGACTTCTTGAGGGAACAAAAATAAAAATTGAAAAAAAATTGAAATTGAAAAAAATATTAAATTGAAATAAATATAAAACTGTTACAAATCGAAGGCGCCGCTGATTACTGAAATTCTATGCGGGTTGGAATACTTAGCGTCATTTTTTAAAATAATTTTACAAAATAAACTTCTTTCAGTAAATGTTTTATTACCCGTAAAATACTAACTTTTGCAAAATATAAATGCATTTTATGCAATTAAGAGTGTCGCATTTATTTAAAAGCATTATAATTAATATGCAAGGTTTGTTTATAATAACTTATTTGTAAAAAAATTTGATGTCAAAAACAATGTTTTTGTAAAAATGTAATGTATGATATGCTAATATGAATATTGTAAAGTAAAAACAATTTTCTACGTGTTGTAGGTCATATCATAGATCATTTAAAGATTGAACTAGAGATTGTTGGCAACCATTGCTTCCACTTTGATTTTACTACTTTCTTAAATACTTAAATTTCTAATTTTTAACGGAAACCAGATCGTTTTTTGTCTCACAACTTTGCTTTGATATTTTTTGGTATTTTAATTTTTTTTTTGTTGAGTTCTATAATAATCATATGATTTAAAAACTTTTTGTTTTATAGTTGTACAGGAGGGTAATTAAAAAGTTTTTTTATTTAAATGAATAAGACAGTTGTCATTTTAATCATATAATAGAGTTTCCACGTGACGCAAATACCTTCGGATATATATATATATATATATATATATATATATATATATATATATATATATATATATATATATATATATATATATATATATATATATATATATATATATATATATATGTACATAAAACAAAGTTTTTTTTATTTAAATGAATAAGACAGTCGTCATTTTAATGTATAATCATATAATAGTGTTTCCACGCGACGCAAATACCTGTGGATATATATATATATATATATATATCCACAGGTATTTGCGTATATTGTGGATATATATATATTGTGGATATATATATATTGTGGATATATATATATATATATATATATATATATATATATACACAGGTATATTGTTATATTGTTAATATTATAAGTGATGATAAAATGTTAACCGTTGTTTTTTTAAATATACAATTATTAAACATACTTTCATCTTTCTACAACAATTAAACTTTATTCCATGCTGCTCCACTATAAGAACTTTAAGAGTAATGTTTGAACTGAGATATCTTAATACTGTAAAAGTGTTTAAATACATCATTGCAGTTTGGGTTTAATGTTTAAAATACACTGCTAAAGTCTCTCAATTACCTTTAAAATGATTGTGCTAAATTACCTTTAAAATGATTTTGCTCATGTAATAAATATGCATTTCATTCTACTTTTTTTTGTTCAAAAGTTATGGCCGTAAAAAGTTTGAACCCCCCTTAATTTGAGAGGGCTGCAAACTTTATATGGTCATTTTTGAACACTTCTTGATAAATATAAGTTGAAAATAGTACAAAAAATATATCATCAACTTGTTGATATCACATTTGAGGCAGGGGGGGGCTAAGATTTTAGGGTTTCTTGCCCCATTCTCCTATCACAGTAACTTTTTTTTTTAAAGAATCTTTACGTCATTCGTATGAACGTAGAAATATTTGGAATATTCTTGTTGTTTATAAGTTGATTATTTCAAACATTAATATATATATATATATATATATATATATATATATATATATATATATATATATATATATATATATATATATATATATATATATATATATATATATATATATATATATATTTATATATATATATTAACTTAGTTGGTTATTTTATTAGTAAATAAAAAATTTTTTGAGTGTACTTTTTAGAATAAACTTAATCAGGGGCGAACAGAGACTTCATGGTACCCGGGGTATATTATTATAAAAATTAACTGGATGCCCCTCTAACCACCACAAAAATAAAAATAATAAGAAAAATAAAGCTATTATTTCTAGTATTCACAAAATATTTTTAAAATTCTGTATTTAAGACAGTTCACGAATCAAACAATTAAACACAACACAACAAAGAAAAAAAACATTTCTGGATTTGGTATCAAGTTTTTCTGACGTCATACCAAAACTTTACGAGCTTTTCTAGCAGCAAACTTGAAAGTTACAACATCGTAATTAACTTTCTTCGCAAGATCTGTTTCGATTGAATAGATAATTGAATAGTCCCATGGTAGCTCTTAGAGAGTTCTTGAAGAGAGCTAACTTCCTAAAAGATTTCTCGTCTTCAGCCACAGATATTGACAAAGTAAGAAAGATACGAAGACTAATGCATATATGGAGAAAATTTTATTCAAATCCCTTGCATAAATGCTATTCAGAAGATCTAAGGGCCGATCATTTGTCAGCAGATGGTGTCAAATAGACAAAAAGTGGCGGAAATCATCAATAAACTCGTCTTTACTAAGATCATTTGGATGCAAAAGTACGAGATCTTTAACTTTAGGTTCTTGACTGATTGTTTAGTCCGAATAATGGGGGCATCATCATCTGATGATGTCCCCCATAAATGTGGGGGCATTATCAGATGATGATGTCCCCATAAACCCTTCTGTGCGCCCCTGAACTTAATAGAATTTTTTTGCACGTAAAAAAAAATAAATTGTTTAAATGTTTATATATATATATTTCGTCATTATTAATATAAATTTGTACAACATTTTACCGTGAATTATATGACTGGAGCAAGTAGAAGACAATAGTCTTATCATCTTGCCCCATTTTTGTCGTTGACAAAATATAATAAAATATAAACCAAATACAAATGTAATAAAATATTTATATTACATGTGATTTTTTTCTTTTTTTACAATGAACTTCATTAAATAACCAAGCAAGTAATATAATAGAATTTCAAGAAAAAGGGAAGGAAAAAAAAAAATTGAAATTGAAAAACGAAAAATTTTAAAAATAAGAGATTGTTTCATTAATGTTGAGGTCTAGTAGCTGTTGCTTTACAATGCAATTAAAATGTGGGAATGAGTTTATTATTTTTATTTTGTTTGTTAGAAATGAGTTTCACAATTGGGGTCCTCTGCAGGATATTGAAAATTTAGATTGTCTTCAAGAGGTTTTCGGAATATAGTAGTTCTTGATAGAGTATTTTGTTTGATATTTGTGATTAATAAGGTGAAAATAGTTATGAAAGACTTCAGGGACCAGATCATTTTTGAGTTTAGACATGAACTGAAGTATGCAAAATATATTTTGTTCGTAGATATTAAAAACTCTCAGTTCCCTCATTAAATGTTTAGAATTGGCATTTTTATTTGCGTTTTGTTAATATACGACACGCTTGTTTTTGTTTTTTACATATTAAATCTAGTTTTGATTGGTAGGAACTAGCCCAGGCAATATTGCAGTAGTTAATATAGCTATATATATATATGCAAAATCAAAATTTTTAAGGCATGCATTATTTAAAATATATTTGGTTTTATGCATAATTCCAATGTTTTTAGATATTTTGTTTTTTAATATATTAATGTGGTCTTTTCAGCTAATATGTTCATCTAATAATACCCCGAGAAATTTAACTGAAAACGCTCGATTTAGTTTAACTTTGTCTAATAGAATATTTGGAAGTTTTAATGGTAGTTTGTCTGAATTGTAAGGTTTTGTGAAAAAGATATAATTACTTTTCTCAATGTTGACAGAAAGTCAACATTGAGAAAAGTAAGTATATCTTTCTATACCCACTCATTAGAGTGGGTATAGAAAGCATGAGTGTCATCTGCAAAAATATGTCATTTATATAGATTAGGAAAAGCAGAGGTTCTAGAATAGACCCCTGGGGAACACCACATATGATGATTTCAAGGGGAGTGTATGTTTTATTGAAAAATAAGGCCTGTTTACGGTTTTTTAGATAGCAGCTAAACCATTTTAAGTTTTTATTTTGTATACCATATTTATGAAGTTTGTATAGAAGGATTTCGTGATCCACTGTACCAAAAGCCTTTGAAATGTTGATAAATACTCCAAGGATGTGTTTGTTTTTGTCAAAGCCACTTAAAATTTCGTTAACTAATTTTATTGCAGCATGTTCAGTTAAGTGACTTTTTTTAAATCTGTATTGGTAATTGGAGAGGATGTTATGATTTTGAAGGTATGTAAAGAGTCTATTATACATTATGCGCTCCAATATTTTTGAAAAGCACGGGAGTATGGAGATGGGTCTATAGTTAGATAAAGTCGAGTCATCTCCGCTTTTAAAATTTGTTTCCTAAAAGTATTCCATTTGGACAGAGCACACCTTAAATCGTTTTTTTTTTCAAACATAATACAAATTATTTTTCAAACATAATACAAATTATTTTAAAAACTCGTTGTAATTTTTAGCAAAGACTGTTATTTTTTTTCTTGATTTATAACTAGTTCTAACATTTTTAAAGACGTTTAAAACACGTATTAAAACGTATAAACACGTCTAAAACTAACTAAAACCTACTGGGCTGTTATTTTAATTTGTCTTTTAAAGCAATGTCCAATAGCCAACGTCTTTTAGCCAATTAATATTGCTATCACAAACCACGTTGTTGCACTTACAGAAAATAAATAACTATAATGGCTGACGAAATAACTTTATTTTAATACCGAACATCGTTATTTCTAAAACTTCTTAGCAAGTTTTCTCAAAAACCAACAGATGATTTAAGTTTTTGCAGTGATAGAATATGCAAATAGACTACCGTCAAATTAAAAATAAAATTTCATAAGATACAATATAGGGTCTTAGGTGACCTTCAGGGTTCCCGTGACTGCAGTTCAAAAGCATTCAAAAGAAATTTTTCAAACGAAATGATATGGCACGAAAGATTCTGTCAAATGCCTTTAAAAAGTCTTCTTCTTTACAAATCATGTTAAGGTGTAGTCGATAATTTACATCCTATCGTTTGTTAAACTTTCCATGAGTTTAAATAGAACAGTCGCGAGAGAAACAATTCTGTAGTTCACTGGTATTACTTTTTTAAATAAAATATTGTTATTTGAACTGCATCATTTTTAAGTTTGATGTAGTTCAGTTATATATATAATATATATATATATATATATATATATATATATATATATATATATATATATATATATATATATATATATATATATATATATATATATATATATATATTATATATATATAGTTATATATATAATATATATATATATATATATATATATATATATATATATATATATATATATATATATATATATATATATATATATATATATATATATATGTATATATATATATATATATATTATATATATATATTATATATATATAGTATATATATATATATATATATATATATATATATATATATATATATATATATATATATATATATATATATATATATATATATATATATCTACTATAGCATATTTATGTGCACAATTGCTCACTTTTTTTGCGAGCCTAAATTAAGTGAGCGTTTTGAAAAAACGATGAGGGAAAACGAAGAATAATGAATGAAAAGGTTGCTGACCCATACCAAACCCTCAGTTGATGGAGCAGCACTCCACTATGAGTCAGGCTATTTGTCAGTCGATGTATGTACTGAAGCCCCAGCAGCAGGCTATTTCAGTATGCCGTTATCATGCTCACCTAACTCAGCAGTATAAGATATATATGTATGTATGCATATATATATATATATATATATAAATATATATATATATATACATATATATATATATATATATATATATATATATATATATATATATATATATATATATATATATATATATATATATATATATATATATATATATATATATAATAATAACAATATATATTCTAAAATAAAAAGTTTACATTTCATAGTTGTTTACTAATAGTACGAGTACCAATCTAAGGTAAACACCAATTAAATAGCAATCGTATAATAATAATAAAGTAAATTTAACGAATTGGATTATAATAATAACAAAAATACTATTAAATATTGTAATGACATAATAATGATTGTATTGGTTATTATAATAATAACAACAACAGTAATAATAATAATAAAATTAACAATAATAATGACAATAATAAAATTAATAGATATCACATATAAATGTTAAATAATTCTAATAAGTAATAATGATGGTGATAAAAAAAAATTAAATAAAATGTAAGTAATATTAACATCACATATAATAATAATAACTATAGCAATAATAATCTATTATGAGCCTAGCTTTTTAAATACAATATTTTTCTAACAAATAATCAAAAAGAAGATTTTTAAATTGTGAAATAGATTGAAAATGAAGAGGTAAATTATTCAACAATTTTACACATTGGTTTGCAATGAAATCATCACCATATTTTACCTAACAACAATTTGAGATAATTTAAAGTTACTAAAATATCAAATGTAATTACAAGATCTTTTTTTAGTGGTAAAAAAATTGGAGAATAATGGAGGGAGGTTTACTTGTTTATGTTGCCAGACAAATAGAGAATTTAATAAACAAGATCACATAATTTGAGTATTTTGATAGAAAGTAAAGGATGTCAGAATTAGTATGATATTGATAAAAGAATATTATTTTTAAAGCTTTATTTTGTCGGTTAATAATCTTAAAAAAGCATTAGACTCATAACATATCTAAGTTGTGATCCAAAAATATCACCATTTGATGTACACAATTTCACTGCTACTTTTTTAAAATGAGAGATTTTTTGGCCACTTTGTCTAAAGTTTAGGTTTTTATACATTTTAGATTGACTTGATTTGAAAATAATGAGTTCAGTTTTTTTGGTATTAAAAATTATGGTCTTAATACAGAATCTTATGAAATTATGGTCTTAATACAGAATAATTACAGAACCTTGGGATATACCTGTGGAGCATTTTATTAAAAAAGATTTGGCATGATTGATGGAGACAAATTGCTATCTATTATATAAGATATAATGAAAACCATTAGAGAGTATTACCTGGAACACTGTAGTGTTCCAATTTACTTATGAGGATGGAGTGATCAACAGAATCAAAGGTAGAGTTTAATTTTAAATTAAACTCTGCTTTAAATAACTTTTGTCAGGGTCTTGCAAAGATTATGGCATTTATTAATACTTGTTTAATTTTTTATGCAAACTGGTTTTTCCTTCAAATTATTTTTAAGCTAAAGCAATTATTTTTGTAAAATACAGTTGTTTATAAATCTATACTTTTATGTAATTAATTAATGTATTTATTATTTAATTTTATTATTTAATTTTATGTAGTTAAATAATGTTAAAATTTTTCCTTCCATAAAGGAAATAAATTTTTTTACCATACCCAGGATTGATGGGTTTAATCAATTTAAAAGAATATCAATTGAAACCAAATCAATATTTTTTAAACAACTTTAGATTTACAGCAGGAAAGTAGAGCAAGGCTATGTTTACGAATAAAACTATATTCTTTCATGTCCTGCTGCCTTGTAGGATATGCCTTTTTAGGCAAAGGCAAGGAGAAGTCAACTCTGACTTAAGCACCCCCTGTTTTGTTAAGTAAAGGCTAGAGATAGTGTCTCAATAAAAATACTTATCTTGGGCAGATGTTAAATGCATCTGGCTACTGTTTTGCAGAAGGCCACTTAGGCAAAGACTTAAGATGTAAACAAATTCTAGTTGTTGACCAGTCTCACACCCATTCTTCATCTATTAGGCTGGCCCAGATGTATTTTTAATATATTGTTTTCAGTTTTGGATGTTGAACACTGGATCTTCTTGACTCAATGCATTGGATTTGCTTGTGTGCTTGTGTTTTTTTGACTAGGCAACTCATTCTATTATCTCCTAATGAGGGTACAGTTCTAAAACTGAGTCTTATCTCTTGCAAAGTTCATCAGACCTACTTACTATTTGTGAGACTAATTTGAGTTCAGCTGTCTCATCTTGTGATCTTAGTGTTAATTGTTATCTTCCTTTAATTTGTAAAGACTCCAGTAGTCACATGCTTTGCCTGGGCATTTACATTCGTAAAAATTCACCCATTTGTTACGAAACTAAGTTTGAATCTACAGACTATTCTTTTATGTGCTTTCGTTTAGCACCACTTCACTCTATCGTCTTTCTCTTTGTTCTATATCGCACTTCTTCATCTCAAGACTACACTCTTTTTGATGTTATTCCTAATCAAATTGACCAAGCCCTCTCTCTTTATCCATCAGCCAATATCAATGTTGTTGGTGACTTTAATGCCCATCACTATTAAATGGATTGGCTCTAGTGTCAGTCAGAATCCCCCATCATATACCTCTTAAACTACCTTAAAGCTGACTGGGCCTTTTTCCGTGATTTTCTTTGTGATGGTCCTTGGATAGAAATCTTTCGTCTTCCTGTTGACAAATGTGCTTCTTACATAGCTTTATGGATTCAGGCTGGCATGGAATCTTTTATTCCCTCTTGATGATTCTAGATCAAGCCTCACTCTTCTCCATGGTTTTCCTCACATTGTGCTCTGCGATTTCCAATTGAAATGGTTACTTACATATCTATCAGCAAAATAATTCTCCAGAAAACAGATGTCTGTTTATTACTGCTAGGAACCTTTGTAAAAAGGTTTTGTTTAACGCCAAAGCCACCTTACCTAAAGACAAAGCTGAATTGTTTGCTAAGAACTTTTTATCAATATCATCTCTTGATTCCACTTGTTACGTTTTACCTGATGTAGCTGTCAAATAGGTTGATCTATTGCTTGACATTTGTATCACCCCAGCTTCTGTATCAAAAGTGATTTCCTGCTTAGACTTTTCTACAGTTTGTAGTCCAGGTAACATACCTGTTGTAGTCTTGCAGAAGTCTTTACCAGAGCTGTCATCCATACTTTTAAAACTATTTAACAAGTGCTTATCAGAGAGCTTGCTGGAAAGCAGCATCTGGTATCCTATTTTTAAAAATTTTGGAGAGCAATCTGTTTTGTCTAACTAGGGTCCCATTAGTCTTCTTCCTATCAAAAGCAAGGTTTATGAATCTTTAATTAACAATCTCTCATCTTGAATCTAATAGCTTACTTTCTGATCATCAATATGGATTTCGATCTTCTTGTTCTACAGCTGATTTGCTAACAGTAATAACCAATAGATTTTATTGTGCATTAGATAGAGCTGGAGAGGTTAAGGCTATTGCTCTTGACATTTCTAAAGCTTTTGATAAAGTTTAGCATGCTGGTCTTCTCCATAAGCTTTCTTCTTACGGTGTATATGGAAACATCTTTAAGATTATTGAATCCTTCCTTTCCAATCGTAGTATAAAAGTTGTCTTGGACAGCACTCTTCTTCATATTCTGTTACTTCAGGGGATACCTCAAGGTTCAATCCTTGGCCTTATACTCTTTTTAATTTACATTAACAATCTTCCAGATATTATCACATCTAAGGTAGCATTGTTCGCTGATGACACTACCATTTATTCTTGTCATGATAAGAAGCCAATACTCTCTGATTGCTTGGAGGGGGCATTTGAGTTTGAAAAGGATCTCACTTCTGCAACAGCTTGGAGCTCCCAATTGCTGGTGAACTTTATTTCAGATAAATTTTTTTCCAGCCAATTGTTATTGCAATAGTTTAGATCTTCCTATATTTATGAAAGGTACTTGATGAGTCATCTACCCTTCATCTTCTAACTCTTACTTCTACTCCTTCTTGGAAACCGTATATCAAATTAATTGCAAAATTAGCATATGCTAACATTGCATCTCTTTATCGTTTTCGATACTTTCTTACTCTGGTTTCTATTCTTTACCTCTATAAATCTCAAATCCAGCCTTGTCTGTAATACTGTTGCCATATCTAGGGCAGATCTTCTAATGATGCCATTTCTCTTTTAGACAGGGTGCAAAAATGCATTGTAAACATAGTTAGACTTGCTCTTGGAGCCCACCTCCAACCATTATCACATTGTCATAATGTTGCTTCTCTTTCTGTTTTCTACAAATACTATTATGGGCACTGCTCTAAAGAGCTAGCATCTCTTTTGCCATCTACTAACATTAATTCTTGTGTTACTCCTCATTCAAGTCTCATCGTTTTTCTGTGACTGTTTTTAAGTGCTCCAAAAACTCTTATTTGTCTAGTTTTTTTCCTCGAACATTGGTTTTTTATAATTTGCTTCTTTCACCTTGATTTTCTGATTCACATAATTTGCAATCTTTTAAGTCGTCTGTCAATTGTTATCCTGCTCTACAAATTTCTTCCAATAACTTTTAACTCTTATAATAGTTGCTTGCAGCCTTGTTGAAAGCAAAGATGTAAAACAAAAAAATGCACTTATTCAAAAGTATAATGATGCTTTTAAAAATTAATTTCTTAAATATATTAAATATACTGTATGTTATTCATTTGAAATTGTTTTTTCGATGCAGCAAAAGGTCTATGTGAGATCTACCAAAAATACTATAATTTTTTTTTAAAAACCCATGGTTTTTGTTTTTTTTTTCAAAAAAAAAGGAGTTTTTTTAAACATTGACTATACCCTTATTTCACTCCTTATATATTTATTTTACCTTTAACTTTTTAAAGATGTTTTTATTTTAGTTTAAATTTTTTATCTGAAAAAGTCACTTTTGCTTTATATTCATTATACATTATTTTATGTACTATGTGTAATTTATGCACTATGTGTTATTTTATGTACTATGTGTTATTTTATGTACTATGAGTTTTTTTATGTACTATGTGTTATTTTTTTAGTATATTTTTTCTTCCAGGAAGTCTTTTTTTAATAGCCAACTCCATCATGTTAGATTGTCCAATAATCTACTGTAGTGCACAACTTTCAGCAAAAATGAAATATTCACGTACCACAGTGCTTCAAAAAAGTGCATATCTTGATTTTCTTTTTGGAAAACAAACCGATCTACTCTCAATTGAATGTTACAGAGATGCCATTAACTTAAACAAGAAGCAAAATGTGGAGTTACTTCTCTATGATAAGTCAGGTTTTGATAGTTAAAATTCTTTAATCTTTACAATATCAAGGCTCAAATTAAGGTTATTGAAATTGCTTTTTACACTATAGCTAATAGTTTTTTGTTAAAAGGTCGTTTGCTAAGACATATTTTGTTTATATTTGATAAATAAACATTAGAAAATAAGAGTTAATTAAACTTTCCATATTATTACATATATTTATACATATTATTTACCAAGATTTTAGCAAAAAACATTTCATGTTCGCTGTTTTATTGTTAGCAAAAAACATTTCATGTTCGCTGTTTTATTTCAATGTTTCAGTTTTCCATTAGGTGTTTGAGTTTTTAATGCGACTAAAGATTTTTGACAAAATGAAAATTTTAAATAGACAAAGAATAATTCTACTTTTATTTAAAAAATAAATCAAAGTGTATGTTTTTATCTACAATCAGCAAATCAAATACATCAAAGTGTATGTTTTTATCTACAATCAGCAAATCAAATACATCAAAGTGTATGTTTTGATCTACAATCAGCAAATCAATTTTTATTTGTGCTATTTTTTATTAAATTCTCAAAAAATTAGTATTTTTGATTTTAGATTTTATTAGCATTTAAAATTATCCTGACATTTTAACAAATATCAGAATGATTTTTTAATTTAGAAATTGACATTCATAACAAACAAAAATGATGAAGTTAATTATCTTTTTTTAAATCTTTTTTATTTTTTAATTTTATTTTTAATTTTATTTCCTTAGTTAGTTATTAATATCTTAATAAATTATTTGTTTTAAGAAGTTTAATTAACTCATCTTGTTTCCTAAGGTTTATTTAAAATATATACACATTTTTTTCTTGGTACTTGAGGATCCCTTTAAGTTTTTTTTTTTACAATTTTCTATTTACAATGCAAACTTGGTTCTCATCTGTGAATGTCCAAAGTTAATTCTTTTAAGCTGCTTTTTTAGATGTAGTTTTTTAGAGAATTTTATATGCTTGATGGTTGTAGATAGATTTGAAGGGTTGATGACAAATTTATTAGTGAAGTTATTGACCATCTTTCAGGGTTTTTTTTACTGGTGTAAGATGTAATCAATATACTTTCTAAATATATGCGCTTTTTTTTAACACTCTCTAAACATGTTTTCCCTGATGGCAATGATGTCCTCATAACTAGCAATCAAAAAGAATTTGAATATTCAGAAAATTATTTTTTTCCAGACCAAAATTGTTTGAGAAATACGACACATTTTTGAATTATTTGAACTATTATTAATTTGTCCTTTTACAAATGCAAAGTTACATGTAAAGTAACTGGAGAACTACTCTAACCGCCTTTAACAACCAAATTTTATAATCAATTTATAATTTTGAGTTATTTTAAATTGGCTAAACAGATTTATTACAATAAACCTGCTTCCTCTATCTGAAAAATTATTCATAGTTTTATAATAATGTGAGAAAAGGACAAGGATAAAGTCACTACAAATTTTTATGATTAGATTTTTTTACATTAATTTGAGCCTTGCAATACACAAGACCAAGTTACAATAGTAGATACAAATTGATTATTTGCTTCATTTTTTTTAAAGGTTTTAAAGCATGGTATTTGGTATCAACAGTTCCTGTTGTTAATTACTGTCTTGAAAAAGTGCTTATTTTAGTGTTCTTTAATGAAATAGAGCATTTACAAAAGTCATTGAACGGTAAGATGTTATTTACTCTGGTTATTTAACAATATTTGATTTTACTTAAAATATATTTTCAATTTAGGCCATGATTCACCAAAAACAAAGTGGAAAAAAATTGGAAAGCGAGTAATGATAAAAAATGAATTAAAATTATTTGTAAAAAGAAAAGTTAATGATAATAAAAGGTCTTTAGAAGAAGTAAGTATTTTTTCTATTTTCATAATCATAGTTATTTTACTCTTTATTATATAACTCATCACAAATTGCTAAAAATGTATAGGTATATAGAAATATATGGGTATATAGAAATTACAGGAAATTAACAAGAAAAATAAGTTGATAATCAAGTTGACAATGCAATTTGCTTTTTTCATTAATTTAAATCTTTAAAAGAAAAAAGTAAATGTTTACAAAATAATAATTTTATTAGATATATAATTTTCAAAACTATTTTCAGTAAGTTGACAGCATTTTCTTTGTAGATTTTTTATGAAATAATTTAACAAACTTTGTTTTTACTTAAGAATGATTTGTTAAAAATAATTTAACAAACTTTTTTTTTGCTTATGATATGTTGAAAAGAAAACAAATAGAAATAGTTTTAATCTGTAGTTTATTTAAAAAAATTAATGGGGGGAAAAGCCATTTTGTTTACTCAAAATTTGATAATTTAGAAATTGAAATCTGGTTTTAAAACAAGAAATTTTCAGAATTTTTATAGAATTTGCTACCTTAAGAAAAAGTTATTAAAAAAAAAACTCAAATTATTTCTTCTAAATGTAGATAAGCAACAACTCATGCTAAATTAATGTGATATAAATATATTGAAATAATTTAAAGATTTTTCAGTTTTAATCAAAACTAAGTTTTTATTTTCTATGTGAATGTTATGTGAATGTTATGTGAATGTTATGTGAATTTTATGTGAATGTTATGTGAATGTTATGTGAATGTGAATGCCAACTACATTTTTAAAAAGATCCTAAAAGTCTTTTAATATAAAAAAGCTTGTATATAATATTTATATAACCTTTGCACATGTAAAAATTTACCAATTCATTTACGTTAGAGTTTTTGAATAGACATGATGCGTAATATCGATTTGCTTGAGTAATTTAATATATACTTGTTACTATTCATATATTAATATTTGTGTATAAACATATACTTATATTAGAAATAACTTATATCCAACCTAAAATTTTACTTGCGTTCAAAATATTATATATCTTATATACTCTTATTATTTGAGGTTTATAACAAGTTTTTAATTCTGAGCAATTCCATGCTCCTCAATATTTTGCTTTTATCGAGGAAATACAATTTATAATACCTATGTGTATACAAATCGATGTCACACTGTGACGCGCATATTTTGAGCTATATCTGTAAAAATATTTTTTAAAAATTATGAAAAGTTTAGTTTTTATAATGTTTTTATAATATTTTTAACAAGTTTTCAAGATCTTTCTTCATATATATCTAATGAATAACCAAATTAATTGTTGTTGTTAATATGTTGGTTAAAAAGAGCTATATTTATACTAATCTATAACAAAATACTTAAAATAAATATAACATTTATTTTATTTAGGAATTTGTGAAGATCTACAAAGAAAAGTGTCTATTTGCTCTATAGGATTCAGATTGTTTTCTAGTTCAGCAAAGTGCAGAATACAAATTATGTAATGATTTTGAACTTATTGGTGCATATCTAACAGGAGTAAATGAATCTAGTCCAGGGCAATAATGGATATCATAAGAATATGGAGACAAGGCTATTCTCCAATGCATTATTTTATCTTTTTTTGTTTTACTGTTTGATTTAATCATACATAAATGTCACAGACTATGAGAATGAAATGTCGATCCAGAAGAAAATGCCTTCATTGATTTATGGTTTTGAATATCACTTTCTCCACTGATGAATAGTATTGTTCACTTCCTTGAAAGGTACGTGAATGGAAGTCCACAGGCCATTTATCCTGGTTAAGTGTGGCAGATATAGCAAAATGAGAAGCATCAGTCTCTACAGTAAAAGGTATATTCTCATCAATGGTTTGCATGGAAGATTGAACAAGCTCGTTTTTTAATTTTTCAAATGCTGATATTTGCTGCTGATTGAATGGGAATAGGGTAACAGAGTTCAAAGGTCTAATTTAATCTGAAAACGTTCTTATCCATTTGGCATATTATGAGACCATTCCAATAATACGCTGTAAAGACTTAGCATTATCAGGTGGAGGTAACTTAATGAGAGGAACAAGTCTCTGAAGATCAGGTTTTAAAGAACCATAAGATATACGGTAACCTAAAAAATCTAAAGTCTCATTTGAAAATACACACTTCTTTTCATTAAATGTGATTCAAGCATCAATGGTAGGTAATCTGAACTTAAGCAGGTTTTCATCATGTTCTTTCTGACTATTACCACATATTGTAATGTTATTAATGAAAGGAAAGCAGTCAGTTAGTTCATATGTTTTAACAAAGTCATCTATTTCGCATTGAAAATATGCATACCCATTGGTAACTCCAAAAGGCATTCTAGTATATTGCTGCAACTTATTGTAAGCTTCGAAAGCAGTATATGGTCGATCTCTTTTAGATAAAGGTATTTGGTTGTATGCTGAGCAATGGTTGAGAGTATTATAAATTTTGTAAATTTTGTAATTTCAGATTTAATAAATTTTTTATCTCTTTGAGAATAATTTCTAGATCTAATGGCAATAGGTTGACAATCTTTCATGAGATTAGCAAACAGTTCAGGAGGTTCAATTTTCATTGTTATTAAAGCTGCAAACGTTATGGGTGGTCTTTTCCACCATATTTAATGGTAATACTCTCATGCAACTCTTGAAAATCTGTACCAAGAATAATATCTATACATAAGTTATCTAACACATGCAACTTGATTTTGTTATGGATTTTGTTTTGAAGAGTTATTGAAACATAATAATATCCATCTGATTTTGCTGATATTGAAGCTGCCATTCCGATTTCACTCTGTTCATAAATAACATCTAAATTGAGTAGAGCCAATAGATTATTGTTAATGAAACTTTTGTTTTTACTCCCACTATCAATTAAAGGTTCTGCTTTATACTTATCATTAATAATGATTTTGTGACTGACTCTGAAGAGTGAATTTGCTGAAGCTGATATGGTGGCACAGAAGTAATCATCATCAATTTTAAGAATAGCAGCAGAAACATTAGATGATCTACAAAATTTTTTAAAATTTTTTTACATTTATGACAGATAGCTTTATGAACAGGATATTTAGTACGGAGATGTTAATCTACGTACTAAATACGTACTAAAATCTACCTTGGTTAAAGGCTGATCAAAGGTCTAATGTCTTGTTCTCTAGTAATCGTTGGCGTATAACGTTGGAGAGTAGGCCATTTATAAATGCATTGCAAATCATTTCAGATTTATATTGCTCAGCATTTACAACAGCGAACTTACAGTCTTTAGGTAAATTTTTAAACTCATTTATGAATTGATCTATTGATTCAAGTGGTTTCTGCTTCTGAGTTGACAAAATGTTTGGCAAATATTTCATTCTTTAGTTTTATGTAAATAGACTTTGATATAAATTCATTGAGATTCAAAATTCAAAATGATTTATTAAGAGATTAAGCTTGATGGAGTTATCATCAACTGTACTTATAAAATTGTCAAATATTCTTAACCAATGGTTATATGTTTTTGCTGCATCTGGTGAGTTTGGACCTATACCAAGTCTATCAGGTTTCATGAATCCCTCCATCTTTTATTTTATGATAATATTGTAGCTCTTTTGATTGTAATGAATATTGTAGCTCTTTTGATTGTAATGAAATTAATTATGTTGGCTCAAAATTAATTATGAAATTAATTATGAAATTAATTATGTTGGCTCAAAATTAATTATGTTAGCCAAATTAATTATGTTGGCTCAAAAGAACTATAATTATACTGATCTATAACAAAAAGTACATCAAGTATATATAGCACAATACAATTATTAAATGTATACATAAGTATATCAATATAAAGTATATCAGATTAACAAAACAATATATTTATATTTTTTAATTTGGATTGAGTTTTTGTTTCTTAGCTGTTTTGCTTAGTTTTTCAAGCGTTGAAGTTGCGTATGCAATTTTAATTTTTTCAAGTTTAAATTTTTTCAAATTTGTTATTGAATTAATTCCAGTTAAAAGCTACTTTGTTTGTGCTACTCAAGTAATTTAAATTTATCAAAATATAAGTGATAATTAATACTGAAAAATTTATTATTAGATATATCATATGTAATAAGTCTTTATTATATATATATATATATATATATATATATATATATATATATATATATATATATATATATATATATATATATATATATATATATATATATATATATATGATCAATAATCTATATAATATATAGAGAATAAATACGTTTTATTTTATTTCATTAAATCATTTTTGTTTTTGAAAAAAATTAAAAATATATTTCTTATCATATAAAAAATATTTACGAAAAACATTAAAAACATACAAATGTATAAAAAGTATTATTTATGTATTTGTCACTATAAACAAAATTACTGAAACAGTATATACCCGCTGGGAAATCGGCTAGCGAATAGCTATCTATAATCGTTACAATAAAGACAGCGATTTGGCCACGAGGATCGCTAGCTTTTTTAAGTTAGCGAAAAGCTATCAATATTTTTAAAGATAAAGACAGCGATTTGGCTATGAGGACAGCTAGCTTAATAAGCTGAAGATCCACTGGCTAATGTACCTAGCGTCATATCGTTATAAAATTGTTGTCTAAAAAATTTTGATATGTAGCTATCAACCAGCTATAGATTTGTAGGTATTTTGTAGCTAGCTACAAAGCTACAATATGTAGCTAGCAACACATTGCTACAAAATCGCAATGTTTAAAGTTCAATTATTTTCAAAATTATATTAGACTCACCACTAAAAATCGAATTTTTAAAGATGTTAAAGACATTTGCAAAAAATAAAATAAGAAAAAAAAATTCGCTTCAAAATCGCTATAGAGCTAGCTAGTCGCTAGCTCATTTCCCACCAGGTATATTTTTCATCTGCATCTGCTTCTTGGGCAGCTCAAAAACCCAGAATCTCAAAACAGCTTAAAACCTCTTTACAAGCCTGCTCTCTGCAGCTCTAATTGCTTTATACAGCAGTGGTGTAGTGGTAAAACACTTGCTTCATAAGCGAGAGGTTCCGAGTTCGAAGCAGTAAAATATTAGTTTAAAGTGCAGGAAAACGTTTTCAAAACAAAAAAGATATATTAAAGATGTAATAAATTAACATGGAAAACCATTTTACTCTAACATACTTAGTAAATCAAAACACAAGTTTTAGATCTACATCAACTTTTCAAAGCTTTTAACAATGAATCCAAAAACAGACAAGCAAGGGAGTGTAATGTTGTTTTAGTCGGTATTTTTGAATCAGAAAAATCGGGTAATACCAATCACTTTGAAAAGTTGAGGAGCTTTTCAAAGCAATTGGAATTATCGGAATTACAGTAAAATCAGTATGTTGTTTTAAAAAAGGTAAAAACATCAATAAAAATAACCTAACCATCTTCAAGTATGTCTTTCTAGCCCAGCTAAATGAATCCAGACTCTAAAGGTGTAAGACACAGTAAGGCTAAGGACTTTAAAGGTATATACATCCGTGACAATAGAATGCCAGCTCAGCAACTTGAGTTTACAACACTCAACAAGGAAAGGAAGGAAAAAAACAACCAAATACAGGTAACTAATCTTTTACACAATCCCTTTCATTTCATGGTCTATTGACTGTCTGGTTTAGCACGATGCAACAAAAAGAAATTGCTCATAAAATCAACCAGTCAAGCAATATGAACGTCTTTGTTTCTGTTACCACAACAGCCGTCAAGCGGACTAATACCATCTCAAACACCAGCACCACTAATACTACCATTACTATCGCAAATATGACCCATAAATTCTCAGTCAATATTTTTGTCAATATTGATACCAATGCTGCCACCAGCACCACCAATACCATCTTAACAAACGCTTGACCACCAATACCATCTCAACAAAAAAGTGGTTATGGATAGTTGTAAATATTTAAAATTATTGACCACTGAAATAAATAAACTACACTAAACTGTTTGCAAATATTTTTGCTCTAGAATAACTTAAGCACACAAAATGTTTTAAATTTAATGTCAAAAAAAAAACTAACTGAAGTTTTCTTTTCCTTATCTAAGTTTTTAAATTTTTCTCTTTTTTCAAAAGTTAACATTACTAACATGTTTTATATAATTTATTTATAATTTATTATAAACGAATTTTATAAATTATGTCATTCTGTTTTTCATTTTTTTTTTGAGCAAATCTTTGTTCTAAGAAACAGATTAATTAGATAAACATGTTTCAGAAAATGTTACATTCTAACCAAAATGTCTGTTAACGAATAATTTTTTTACCATTTACTTTGATAATTTAATTTGTTAATTACGATATTTTTTTTTGAAATAAATGAAAAGAGTTTGATGTTTAATATTTTTTTTATGTTTCATCATGTTTCAAACAAACTTGAACAGACTTTTATTTATTTTAGATAATCAACTTTTATAATCAGTTGTTTATACCATTCTATGGGCGAGAAAAAGTTCAGTTACCATTCTATATTATTTCTCAAAATCATATTTTGAAAAGATACTGGGATTTGTTTATATTGTTTATCATGGTGTACACTGCAATAGTGCTTCCATTTTCTATCTGTTTTAAGATGTACCCCACAGTTATCAATGTTTTGGATCACATCTTCGACAGTGCATTTATAGTTGACATTGGATTAAATTTTATCACAACATATGTTGACAAAAATGGTGTCCTAGTCACTGATTTAAAAAAAATAATGATGAATTATTTAAAAGGATGGTTTTCAATGCATATTGTTTGTGCCTTGTTATCTTTCATATCATCGCTTTTTCATAGTGAAAAGGTAAGCAGTTTAAGTATAATTTTCATAGTGAAAAGGTAAGCAGTTTAAGTATAATTTTACCTTAAGTATAATTTTATCTCAATTTATTTTTAGTTCATTAAAGGGTAAGTTATGTATAATTTTTTAGTTCATTAAAGGGTCAAACCTTTTTGATACCACTTACCCAGTGAGCTCAAGACATGCTTTAGACTTCTAAAAATTACATTAAAATGTTTTAAAACATTTTGTGACGACTAAAATACATCTGGGCAAAAGAGTCTAGTGATATGATATTAAATCTAGAAGAATAATCTTTATAAAGAATACATCTTTTAAAAACAATTCTTGTAAAATATTTCTGAACTTTTTCTACTCTGTATATCTTTAATAAGATTTGGGTTGACACTAAAGTAACAGATATAGGTTGAATGTAAACTTTGTAGACTCTTGTCTAAACTTAAGACTTGTTACTTTTAAAGAATTCGAAATATAAGATAAAGTACTTGTTTTAAACAACCGTTAGAGAATTTCAATTCAGAAATACAATAATACCATTATAATTATTAAATACATAAATTTCACCAAATTTTTACCATAGCACAGTGTATTGTTTTATACAAGTTAGGTGGACAAGTTAGGTGGAGTCAGTTCAAGAAATCGACTAATTATTGGTATTATTCGTTACTAATTTGAGGCATTAATTATAAAAAACATTCCAGAGCAATAATTTATAAGCAATTAAAGTGACCTTAAAATGTAATTAGATTTTGAAAAAGTTTGAATTTGCAGTGCTTGCAATATCATTTAACAAGATTTTGAATCATTTTATTGCTGTGATTTTACTTTAAAGAACAAATACTTTTTTACTACATTAACAATTTTATCCAAAATAGAACCAATATGTGTAAAAATATGGTTGAAAAAACTCGATTTAACTTTTCAATGTTTACTGCTTCAAAAAATTAGTTTTGGATACATGTCCACATGTATCCAAAACTAACTTTTTTATAATGTATAGCCAAAGATCTTAGCTGTATATTGGTGTATAATTTATTAACACATCAATACACAGTTTTTTGTAATTTAATTTTTTTCAAATCATGTACAATTTGTAACCCCCTCAAATTGAGAGAATTCAAATTTTATATGGTCATAACTTTTATATGTTAATATTATATTATTGTATAAAGTTTAAAATTTATTGATAAATGTGCTAAATGCTTGTTATTGTGCACAAAAAATACTTTATAAAAAGTTATAAAAACATGCATTCGTTGAACTGGGCAATTATCAGAAAAATCTCAAGAAGTCTGCAATAAAGATTTTTGTTGATCTCTCTTTGTTGATCTCTCTTTGTTGATCAAAAGTCTGCAATAAAGATTTTTGTTGATCTCTTTTGTTGATCTCTCTTTGTTGATTCATGCCAAAAAAAGTTTTTCTCATGATTCATGCCAAAAAAATATTTCTACAAATATAGATTTGCTCAATATGCTTTTGGTAACTTCAGATCCTGTCACCAAATCATATAGAAAACTGTTGAGTAAGAAAACCAGTAATTTAATTTAATTACATAAATAAATTTTTCAATAATGATATTTCTGAAAGCATAAAAATAATAAAAAAAATGATCAATGAAAAACTAATCAATAAAACACTATAATATTATTAGTTAATTTCTTAACAATCATATCGCAGTAAACAACATTATCAACAATCATATCTCAGTACACAACATTGTTAACAATCATATTGCAGTGCACAACATTGTTAACAATCATATAGCAGTGCACAACATTGTTGACAATCATATCGCAGTACACAATATTGTTAACAATCATATTGCAGTACAAAGTATTTTTTCCATGAAGCTTATTGTACACAATTCGCTGTGCGTTTAAACGAAAATAGAATTTGTTGTTTTTTGAGTTACAAAAAGCTTGATGATGTTTGTAAATAACTTGTATATATTAAACAGGTGTGTTGACAGAATTGATACTTGACTGACTTAAGGAGACAAGTTTGTGGCTTTTATGGTATAAAAAAAGAGTGTTAACTATATGGAGATGTAGTTTTTATCAAGTTTAAGATTATGATTTTTCTTTTATTTCCAGATAGATTATTAAATTAAAAACCTATTAGTTTTATAAATATTAGAAGAATATATATTAATGCTGATAAATTAATGCTGATAGTTAATTTGGAGGGTGCAATTGTGATAGAGAAGGGATGAGTACCTCAACTGTTTAATTAATTTAGGATAAGTTTGGCAGTTTACAGTATTAATTATATTCACTCATTTTTGTTCATTTTTTTCTATTAATTCTAATAAAGTTATAGAAATGTTGTTTTTTCGAGATTTTTTTTATATAACAATGCTTGTTGAAATAAAATTGAGTCTTTTTTTAGTTTAGTTTTATTTGTTTGTAAAAAGTTATAATGGGAGAGTGTTTGACTTGGATGGTTTTGTAGAGTGTACATATTTACTTTTGTCAAAGGTAGTTTGTGGCATTAAATTATTCTTTAAACTTCTCAAGTTAGTTTTTAGTTAAACATAAAAAAAATCAAGTTAATATTTGAGCGAGCAAAGAAAACTTGGCTGTTATTAGCAAAATGAACAGTGCTTAGTTTATATGAAGATGTATAAAGATTTAAATTTCCAACTAAATATTTTTTCATGTTTAAAAAAAAAGGATATTGTGTTCAACACTATCAAACACTTTTCAAGGAATATCTCAACAGCATTTTTGTTTACACAGAATAAAAATTATTCAGATATTTCTCCACTTCCAGACTCAGATTTACAATTTAATCTAATTAATCACCTATCTAAATATCTAAACAATTAATTTAATCTAATTAATCACCTATCTAAATATCTAAGCAATCAATTTAATCTAATTAATCACCTATCTAAATATCTAAACAATTAATTTAATCTAATTAATCACCTATCTAAATATCTAAACAATTAATTTAATCTAATTAATCACCTATCTAAATATCTAAACAATCAATTTAATCTAATTAATCACCTATCTAAATATCTAAACAATTAATTTAATCTAATTAATCACCTATCTAAATATCTAAACAATTAATTTAATCTTATTAATCACCTATCTAAATATCTAAACAATTAATTTAATCTAATTAATCACCTATCTAAATATCTAAACAATTAATTTAATCTAATTAATCACCTATCTAAATATCTAAACAATTAATTTAATCTAATTAATCACCTATCTAAATATCTAAACAATTAATTTAATCTAATTAATCACCTATCTAAATATCTAAACAATCAATTTAATCTAATTAATCACCTATCTAAATATCTAAACAATTAATTTAATCTAATTAATCACCTATCTAAATATCTAAACAATTAATTTAATCTTATTAATCACCTATCTAAATATCTAAACAATTAATTTAATCTAATTAATCACCTATCTAAATATCTAAACAATTAATTTAATCTAATTAATCACCTATCTAAATATCTAAACAATTAATTTAATCTAATTAATCACCTATCTAAATATCTAAACAATTAATTTAATCTAATTAATCACCTATCTAAATATCTAAACAATTAATTTAATCTAATTAATCACCTATCTAAATATCTAAACAATTAATTTAATCTAATTAATCACCTATCTAAATATCTAAACAATTAATTTAATCTAATTAATCACCTATCTAAATATCTAAACAATCAATTTAATCTAATTAATCACCTATCTAAATATCTAAACAATTAATTTAATCTAATTAATCACCTATCTAAATATCTAAACAATCAATTTAATCTAATTAATCACCTATCTAAATATCTAAACAATTAATTTAATCTAATTAATCATCTATCTAAATATCTAAACAATTAATTTAATCTAATTAATCACCTATCTAAATATCTAAACAATTAATTTAATCTAATTAATCGCCTATCTAAATATCTAAACAATCAATTTAATCTAATTATTTTAAAATGTTAGAGGAAAAGTATTAAGAGAGAAAGATTTTATTAATAATTTAATTAAAGATGTCAAATACAAAATTATACAAATACAGTGCCCAAAAATAACATCTGGTCAACAGTCAATAATAGGCTGCTTTTGGCAAAAATGAAATTTTATTCTTCGAAAATTAATTCTGGCAATTTGATCACCATATTTGATCAGTAAAAGTTGCGAGTCAAATTATTATTATGATAAATACATCTAAATTAACTTAATATTTTATTTAATTAATTAATTAAGTTAGACTTATTAAGTTATCTAAATTAGATCTAATATTAAAAATATCAAATGGTTTTGATTAGTGGAATAAACATAGTTTTAAGACCATAAGAATCTTTAGTATAAAATAAAAATGTTTTCACCCACTTAAGAGTCAAATAATAATGAATACAGTGTGTTTATATTGTTTTAAAACCATAACAATTTAAGAAAGATAAGTTGAAAATAATAGCATAACTGATTGTAATCATGAATATGATCATGAGTTTATCATTAAAACTTTTATGTATATATTTATATTCTGTAGAAAGAAAAAAATTATTGCAATTTTGATATGCTATTGTTAGTATGAGTTCAAATTGTATAATGAATTGAAATTGTATTCTTAAAGATACATAAAAGATTTTATTTGGTACTGGTTTTATGGTTTATCCTTCTTTGTCAAAAAATATTGCAAGTTCATAAACAGCTAGCCCATACACATCAACAAGCATTTTTTTTAGGGTTTACTATTTATAGTTCAAACTGAAAGAAATTTTATTCTTTGAAAAACAGAAGATAAAAAGTTATAAGTCAGAAGTATTAGCATTAGAAATAAACCACACAGCTGATAAAAATGAATAAAGTTTGTAATTTAAGAAAAATGGGGATTAAGTAACTTACATCCATTACAGAAATAAAGTGTATGTGTTTATTCTATTAAATTTTTAAAAGTGATGTCTTTCCAGAGTTTGTGTGATAATATCAAATTATTATTCCACAATTCAAAAA